GGGGCGGGGGGGGGGGGGGAAACTCGGGGGGGGGGGGCAGAATATGGCAGCATCTCATCAGTCAACCACCTCCTGGCTTAGGTAGCGTTCAGCCGACAGCTGCGTGGGCTTCTTTGGGGCACATATTGGCTGCCTGGGCAAAGTTTACCCAAAGCTCTTGCATTGCGCAGCTGCCCTGAGACCCCTTGCCTCCCCCCCCCCCCGGAGTCCATCTTCCTGGAGCATAGCAGAGAGCAGCCTTTCGCCATCCTCTCTTCAGTGGGGGGTTTTGGGGGCCCTTCCCTTTGCCTTCCCTCTGCACGCTTGACCTCAACTCCGCCTGCTGCTGGGTGGGGGTCAGCCTCTCTCTTCTCTCCGCAGAGCCCCAACCCCGCCCTGACCTTTTGCATCAAGACCCACGACCGGCTCTACTACATGGTGGCCCCCTCGGCAGAAGCCCTGCGCATTTGGATGGACGTCATTGTCACGGGGGCCGAAGGCTACACCCAGTTCCTCAACTGAGGCAGCAGATCCACGAAGAGCCCCTCAAGATCTTCCCTCGGGCGGCCTCCGAATGCGGGCAGGGACCCCTCTGCTGCCATGGGTGCCTGGGATGGGCACGCGAGTGGTGAAAGCTGGGCTCCCGTCAGCAGCCTCAGAAGTCCAGGAGGTCCCCAACCGCCAGCGTCAGAGGAGCAGCAGGCAGGAGATCAGCACCGTCAGGCTTTGCAGTGCAGGGCTCCCCCCCCCCCAGCCCACGTCCGGTGCAGACAAGGCCCAGAAGTCACCTTGGCTCCCTCGTCTCCAGGGCCGGCCTCCTCCCTCTTTGCAAAATGGAGAATCCCACCCCACCCCCCGGAACGGCTCCCCCTTGCAGCTGGGGATGCCGAAATTGTTGGATGGAGTCTTTGCAGCCACGAGGCAGGAGAGCAGAATAAAGCTTTTTGCATACTTTCATCCAGATGGTCCTTTTCTCATTTAAAGAGCGGCCTCAATCAATCAACCCATCAAAGCCCCTTTACAGTCCAAGCCGAAGCCCAAGGAAAAGAGCCCCCTCCAGGCCAAGCCAAGGCAGGGCTGCGCAATGGTCAGAGCAGGCTCCTCTGGCGGGATTTGCCTGGAAAAGGGTGGCTTCTCAGATCTGACATGAAGGGAAGGATGCCTCTTCCTGTGATTTCACAGCAAGTAGCCAGAAGCCCCCCAACTCTGAGTCACAGCCCCCTTTTAAAGCTCTCCCTGCAGACTTCAGGATCAGCCCTAGAGATGCGCTTTCCTTTTATGCCCCAGTTCATCATCCGCCTGGGTATCGCAGCCTTGGCTGACCATCGGCTTTCCAGGTTTCCCTTGGAGTTTTCCTGGTCTGAACTGGGACTCGTCCCTTTGGCTTCATGGCTTCCCCTTTTCTGCTGTGACCAGGGCAGCCCTGGGGCCCCGGTTGGTTTTCACTCTGCCCTAGGACAACTGGACACACGCTGGCAACGCTCTCTTTATTGCCCAGCCGGACAGCTGAGAAGGGAGGGGGGCCTTATGGCATGCAATGCGGCCCCGACACATGCAGGGCATGCACACCACAGTCCTTCTGAGCCACACCCACCCGAGGATCTCAAGAGCCCAACTGAGGAGGCGGCTAGCTTCCCCAGGGGACAGGCCCGTCCCCGAGCAACCCAGGAAGCTGTGAGAACAGGATCAGGCTGAGGCAGGCCCCCCATGCAGGGCCAGGAGGGAGAGCGCTGGCGGCCGTCAGCTGCTCTCCGTACAGATCCAGCAGCTGGAGGGCCACCCCGTTGGTCCAGCCGAAGCCTTCCTGCAGAGAGAAGGGGATCGGTCAAGGGGGGCCTCTTTGACCAGGAGCCGCTCCCCACCTCCCTCCTTTCATTGAGACCCCTTACCTGCACTGGATACTCCCCACCACCTCCGGGCTTCCCGTCACCTTCCACATCGTACTAGAAAGGAAAAAGCCGCTCCAGGCTAAGCCGCCCTGAGGGCCGGTGCCTGGAGGCCAATGGGGGAGGATCTCCATGCTGGGGAGGGAAGAGGCGGGATCCGCACAGGAGAGCCAGCTCACCTTCTCAAACATGCCTCCGTGCTTCTTGTACACAGCCAGGTTCATCTGCACCCAGCGCTGAGCCAGGCTGAAGGCCAGCTCTCGTGCCCGGGGAGAAGAGGATTTGGCCAGGCCTGGCAAGGCAAGCAAATGGTTTAACGCCTTGGGCAGGGAGATGCTGCCCTGCAGGTTTTGGCTCTGGCAGGAAGAGTGGCCGATGCACAGGCCAGGAGAACGACCCCCGCAAAAGCTGGGAAGGCAGGAGGAAGGGCCTCAGACATGGAGAAACTCCCCAGACGCTCCGGAAGGACTCCTCACCTGTGATCACCATGTGCTGGAGTGGGGCCCAAGCGTTTGGAAAGTCCCATTGCTGCCCCGTCCGTGTCAGAGAGGTGGGCAGTCCATTAGCAAAGGAGAGGGCCCGGCTCTCCTGCAGGAACAAAGGAAAAGGGCATTTCCAGCCAGTGATGGGGGGGGGGGGGCTGCCCTGAGATGACCCATCCTGTTGGCCCCGATCCCAGGGGTGGCACCAGGTGCGACTAATGGTCAGTCTTGGGTGGCCAACCATCCTGCCCACTGCTGTGCCGACTTCCTCCTCGGGAAGAGTCCCCCTTTGGTGCTTGTGAGGAAGGCAGGGGGCTTTTTCCACTGCCTGACTTTGCAACACCCCCTCCCCCCATTCTAGGGGTGCTCCCCAGAAACGAGCCGGGGTCTGTGCGGGTGACTGGTGGGATGCCTGCCTCAGCTGCTCCCCACCAGCTGTCGAGGAAGCATCCATCTCTGGCCGGCCACCGGCTGCCTCTTACCTCCAGGTAGCGAAGCACCTTCTCTGCCCTGGCCAGATCCACGTCGCACTCGGCCCACAGGGGGCTGAGGTTGGAGGGGTAGAAGGCCGGGTTGTGCCTCTGGCGGAGGAAGTGATAGTCCAGCCAAACACCGGCCTCCTCATTCCACAGGACAGCAGTGAGGGCAGCCACCCGCTGTCTCCGTGCAGCCCGGAACCTGCTCGCTTTCTGGGCATGCCCTGGAGAGGGAGAGGGCAAGCAGGACCCTCCTTCAGAGCACGCCTGCCCTCCGTGCCCCAGGCAGGTGACTCACCTCGACCCCAGAGCCAAGCCGGCCTCCCCCACACAGCCATTGAGCAAGAGGCCCCCCTGTGCCTCATTTCTCACCAAGGACTTGGTAGAAAGTGGCCAACAGCTGCTCAACCTTGCAAAGAATGGCGTTTAAGTCCACTGGCACAATCCCTCTCACTCGGGTGTCACGCAGGGACAGGAGTCCTGGCAAGAACCAGCGGGAGGAGAAATCCCAGCCCGACTCAGCCGCACTCTGCAGCTCTGCCCAAAGGCTCTGCTGGGCTTCTGCGGGGGAAAACACAGAGAAGCAGGACGCGGCAGCCTCCGCCATTGCCGACAAGAGACGTGGTACCCAGAATGTTTCAAGTTGGACCAAAGCGGAACGAAATGGAATTGTTACTCTACATGCCGTGACCGGAAGCTCTATTTTGCTGATTCAGACCACAGTTGTAGGTGCTGTTTTTGCCTTCTGTTGTGTGCTGCTTCTCCGCTACGACTTCAAGATCCTTCCCCCAATGCCGCTTTAGGCCACCCCCCTCACCGTGGACCTGATCGGGCAGTTACCTTCCTCTAAGCCCATTGCCAGCTCCACGTCCTTCATGTAAGACTCCGGTCTGGTGGGGAAAAGGGAGGACGGTTGAAGGGGATCCAGATGCTCTTGGATGTCAGGAATGTCCGACTAGTGGGAGGAGGACCATTCTCGCAGGGCCACTCACCTGGGTTCCCCCACCTGGACGTTGTAGCGATTCAGGGAGTATTGCTTGCCCCCCACAGAGATATTGACAGCCCGGTGGTCTTGCCAGAAGTGATACTCGGCTTCGAGCAGGTGGACGTTTTCCCTGAAAGAGGCAGTGGGGAGGGGGGCAAACCTCCTCTTTAGGCCCAGTGATGGGAGGGGGGGGCACAATGCCTTTGGCCACTTCCGTGAGCTGAACGGTGGCCCTGAGCAAGCCTGGTGACCGGCTGGCTGAGAGATACTTGCCGTAGAAACTCGGTGTCGTTTGTGTGGCTCAGGTAACTCTCCATCATTAGGGTGAGGAGTGGTGGCTGACTCCGACGCTCGTAGTACACCCGGCCTCCATTTGGGACGTGCCCAAATCTGCTCTTGGGGAGGACGTGGCTCAGGGGAGGCTTGGGAGCGGGGCCAGGCCCCACCCGGCCTCCCCAAGGCCAGCAGAGGAGCCGCCCAAGCCCACCCGGCAGCTCCCCTCCCCCCCGCGTCTTGGGAACTGGGGCCGAAGGAGAAGCCTCTTCCCCACCCTGCCCACCCCGGCAGCCCTCACTTGCTGACGAGGTAGAGGAAGTTCTGGATCAGGCCCTTGGCTGTGACCGTCATGTTGGAGAGGAGGAGGCCTCCCAGGATCCAGAAGGAGTCCCTGCAGGGGAGGAGGGGGCAACCATGTGGGGATGTGGGAAGGGAGTCGAGGGAAAGGGGCCTCTCCTGGCCAGGCCGGTGGGTCGGGGGCAGGGGTCCACGGGCAGCCCTCTGCCTGTCTCACCAGTAGTAATATTCACGGAACCGGCCGCCAGGCACCACCACGGGGTTTGGCACGTAGATCAGAGAGTAGCGCGCAGGGGAGCTTTGGACCTCGGAGTTGACCTGGAGGGAAATGGAGCCGCTTCTGCTGAGGGCACAGCAGCCTCCCTCGGCCACCCCCCCACCCCGCACCCTGCTGAGCCTTGGTACTTACCCTCCTGCCCAGCTGCTTCCACTTGGCGTTCAGGACCCTGGCCCAGGACCGCAACGTCCCATCTGAAATCCTCTGGAGGAGGGGGATGCTGCAAGGGCCCCCGGAGGTCCGGAAGGCAGCCATTCAGGGCCCCCAAGGGAGGGAAGGAAGAGATATTGAATAACCAAAGAACAAGTTGAATAAGCAATAATGGAAGATCTTAATGCAAGATAAAGGTTGGTATTAATATTATTTATATACGTTCGTTAAATGTAACAAATGATTGATAATATTTGATTCACATCAAAAGGTATGATGATTAAGATAGGGTGATTGATACAAAAAATAGCATTCTGAAATATTGAACAATTAAACAACAAAAGATTAAAAATTAATATAAAGATGTGTATTACTACTAGTATTATATAAGATTGTTAAATGGAACAAATATGAATAATTCTATTCTTTGTATGAAATGTACGATACTCAGATACCACTCTGTTTACCCAGGGAGATGTAAAAAATAAAAATAAAAACTTGAATAAAAGATCCCCACGTGAGGGGCTCAGGGAGAGAAAATGTCACACACTTTGCAACCGGTGTCCCCACGGCCTCCACTCCCACCTTCAGCAAGGGAGAAAGGGCACCTGGGAGGGAAGACCTCGGGGAGCAGGAGATTCCCAGGCAATGGGGGGTGGGGGGCTGGCGTGGGGGGGGGCACCTTGTGGCTATCCCAGAGACGGAAATTGGCTATTCAGAAACAAGAGGACTAACTATTGGCTGGCTGCCAGGGTCAAGGGTCCTCTGACCAGAAAGTTGGGCCGTTTTCATGGCCAGGAAGTGTCAAGTGTCCTCAGGTAACAGGTGGCTTGTGGGATCTCAAAGACCAGCCCTCCCCAAGCAGAAGCGGGCCAGGAGGCAATGCCATCTTGAAGGGTGGCCACTGTGTTTTCTAGACATGCGGTCTAGTTGAGAACTGGCACACGGCAAGGGGCAGTATTGTGCCACCTCCGAGAGGTGAGGAATTTGTCACCACACCCCTTCCAGGTGCAACTGTACCTGTCCGTCCAGTCTGGAGGCACCCAGCTTTCCAGCTCCTGCCCTGGAGGGAAGAAGTGAGCCTCCACAAACTGTGCCAGCTGCAGCTTGGATAAGGCTCCGCCAGGTGTGGCGTTCATTAACTCCTCAAATTGCTTCAGAACCACATCTGGAAGAATGGAACAAAGATCTAGGAGATCTGGTGGAGGTTCACTCTGGGGTGGAGGGCGAGGAGGGGCTAGGCTTGCATTAACACCCTTCAGGAGGGGAAGCCTCTGCAGCCTGAGTGCCCTGCTGGCGAGCGCAAGGCGAGCACAGCATGCGCAGGGCCGGCCGCCTTTCCCGTGCATTGCAATAGGCAGCTAGTTTCTCCATTCAGGGCCACCTGTTAATAAAGGGGGCAGCTGGGAGAGGACTGGGCTCTCGGGTGGACATTCACCTGGATTGGACTTCAGGGGCATGTCAACGAAGTCCTTGTCATCTGGAAAGAGCCGGGCCTGCTGGACTTGCCGCAGCAGCTCCCCGGTGCAGTAGACGTGGCTGGAAAGGAAGAGCAGACGCCCTTGGGGGAAGCCAGGCCGGGCTACGTGCCACCAGCAGCCAAGGCTTTGCAGGGCAGGGGACGGCGGCTCCCCAGGGACAAGGCCCCAAACACCAAGCGTCTTCTGGGCAGCCCAAGAACCCTGCAGAGAAGGTGCCTCTTCTACGGGGCATGGCACAGCTGCTCTACGGGCACCCTGGCCCGGGAGTCTGCAGCCATGCGCACAGGGCACTCCCTTGAACTCTCAGCAGCCCCGCCCTCCTCCTCCTCCTCCAGGCCTTGTTGCAGAACCAGCTACGGTGCAATGTACCCACCTGGGCTGTTCATTACAACTATAATCGGCAAAAGCAGCTCCGCCCAGTCCCCAGCAGAAAACATGCCAGCAGAGCTCGGAGCCTCAACCCAACACGGAGTCAGCAGCTTCCGCTTCATTCCTACCAGGGACAAACTTCGTCCCCCCCCCCCCCGGCATCTTCTAAGGCAGCCCTCTCCCCCCCCCTCCTTTAACCCGCCTGCCCCACTTCCTCATCATCCAGGAAGACTGGCGGCAGAAATCCCCTGGGTACATTTGTGGCTTGGTAGGATTGGCACCAGGCCTCGTCTCTTCTCTGTTGTGCACCGAGGTTAGGAACGGGGACAAGCAAGGCCCCCCCACCAGTTGCTCACTCACCTGTCACACGGGGGCGGAAGGCTGCCTGCCATTGCCTGCCCTCCCCACAGAGCTGCACACACGACCAGGAACGCCCTCCCCACCGGAGCTGGCATTTCAGCTGAGAGCTCGGGTGCCAAGCAGCACCACCATTCCAGGCAATGCCCAACAGAGCAGGCCTGCAGTTTCACACCCAGAGCTTTGGGCGGGGCTGCAGAGGGGGGGCGGGGCTTGGGAAATCCCTGCTGCTGCTGCTGCCTGGAAGGAAAGAAGGGGAAACGCTCCCGGCCCTTGGCAGAGCAATGCCCCTTCTCTTTTTGCCCCCAAAGGGCAGCTTCAGAGCGCGGTGGCACAAGTCAACCTTGCTCTGCTGGTTCTCCTCCACATGCTCTCGGTGGCTGTAATGCGGGGCAAACAGAGCGACATGCTGTGCAAGGAAAGAGTCCGAAGCGAAGTCAGGTCCCAGTGAGCTTTTATTGAGCCAATTCTCTTAAAAATAAGTCAGGATTTTATAATTCAGCATTTTTTTGACAATAGGTTCACAGCATTCCTTTATAGACTCGTGTACATATGCTGTGCCAAAATCTGAGCTCTGCTGGACATTTGCCAGTTCCAAACAAAAAATAATCCTCCCCTCCCAACCCACCCCTTGTTGACAAATTCTAGCCCTCACTGTTCGTACTGGACATGGCCTGAACTGAACCAAGGATCAATGAAATACAACATTGCTTGAACTGAATGAAAAAGTATGTTCCCCAAATTTTCCAGTTTCAAGAAAGGGAAAATTGACTTATTCTCTTCCAGACATTGCAACCCCCACATTGTAGATTGTAGATTGTAGAT